AGCATAAGAATCAGTCATGATAGGAATGCCAAGAAGTTATATTTGTCACAAGAGGAGTACATTGAAAAAGTGCTTCAGAGGTTTAATATGGACAACACTAAAGTGGTTAGCTCTCCTCTTGCTACCCACTTCAGACTGAGTACAAAGTAATGTCCTTCTACAGATAAGGAAAAGGAAGACATAGAAAGAGTTCCTTACGCCTCAGCAGTAGGAAGTTTGATGTATGCAATGATTTGCACAAGACTAGATATAGCCCATGCAATTAGTGTAGTTAGCCGATTCTTGTCAAATCCGGGAAGAGATCATGGGAATGCAGTGAAGTGGATCATGAGGTATCTTCGAGGCACTTCCCGTTTGAGATTTGGTTTGGGAAATGGACAACCATTGTTAGTTGGCTACACAGATGTAGATATGGCAGGGGATGTGGATACTCGTAAGTCTACTTCGGGTTATTTGATCACTTTTGCAAGTGGGGCTGTAGGTTGGCAATCGAGACTTCAAAAGTGTATTACTCTTTCTACGACAGAGGCAGAGTTTATTGCAGCAACGGAAGTGACTAAAGAGTTGCTATGGGCAAAGAAGTTCTTGAGAGAATTTGGTCTTAAGCAGCAGAGGTATGTGTTATTTTGTGATAGCCAGAGTGTTATTCATCTTGCTAAGAATTCCAGTTTTCATGCAAGATCTAAGCACATTGATGTACGATACCATTGGATCAGAGATGCGTTGAACAATAAGTTACTTGAACTTGAGAAGGTTCACACTAATGATAATGGTTTTGATATGTTGACAAAGATCCTACCAAGAGAGAAGCTTGAAGTTTGTTATTCGATCGTCGGGATGGCGATTCCCTCCACATAGTCGGAAAGGGAGAAATTTGTTGGGTTTATTTCCTTCTATATGGAGGAAAGCCCAAGTGAGTTTTATTAAAGCCCAAAGCCCAGCTCTTTAGGGTAAATAACCCTAAGGAAGTCAGAATAAAAAAGGGAGAGAGATCAGCCGTAGATCAGCCGTTTTTTTTCACAAGAGAAAAAAGAAAAACGTAGGTTTTTTCTATTCTGCCAGATTTTATCAAACGTCCGATCCCGCTTCGTCCGTGGTCCGATCGAGCTGAAATTTGGAGGAGAGGTTCATAACTCAGAAACAGTGATTCGTGCCCATGAACAGTAACCGGGTTTTGGTACTTTTCTCTCCAATTCTCTTTGTTTTTGCCAAGATTGGTGATATCTTGATGAGATGTATTGTAACCTCTAATTACGATTAGAGAAGACTTTATGTACCCATTTGGTTGATAGTGGAGATTTTAACTGGACTAGGTCCCGTGGTTTTTTCTTCGTCACACTGGGGAAGTTTTCTACGTAAAAAATTGTTTATGTTCTTGTGGCTTGGTGTGATTGATTATTTTTCTATTATTTTCAGCACATATAAAAGTAGAGATACACTATATTTGCTTGCATATAGGGAGAAGAGTTATTCCGCTTGTTTGTTTATTGTTATCTCTCCCAACAGTAGTGGAGGATTAGGACATAGATGGAGGCATCAGAAGCTATGTCCAAAGAAGCGGTTGGTGTCATGGGGAGATAAGAAGGCGAAGACATCACCATCGAGATCTAGTATTGGAGTTGGAGGTGTCAATGGGGTTGGAAAAGAGATTGTGGCCATTCAATCGCATGGTTGTGATCACATACGTTCTTGAGTTCTTGTTCTACGATTCCTCTACCGAAGCCGTTGTGATGGTTGTGGTGGCTAGCCATATGCGTTGTAGATGGCCGAAATTGCTTCTCCATCGGTGAACAAGTAGAGCCACGGGGAGGGAGAAACAGTTGAAATTAGATCTCTTTTCAACTTAAAGAGTAAAAAAAGAACGAAGTTGCAAATTGGGTGAGAAGTGGTGGTGGTGGTGGTGGGTGTGGTGGGGGTGGTGGCATGTGGTGATGAGACTGTCAATTGGCGAATGATGAAATATTGAGGGGTTTTGACAATCTTCAATCTGTAATTTTATGGTTTTGATCGCAAGCTAGGGTGGTGGTTATAGTCTGCATTGCGAAGTTTTGCAAGGAATTAATTGTGGGTGGTAGTCGTGGGGTGGAGGTTGCGATAGTGAATGGAGAAAGAGAAAAAGAAGGTGTGGGCGGTGGTAAAGGTGAAGATAGTGGGTGGTGGCGGTGATGATGAGTGGTGGTTGAGGGGGTAGAGGTTGCGGTGGTAAGTGAATAGAGAGAGAGAAAGAAAGAAGAAGTAAGCGATGGTGGGTGATAATGGTGATGGTGAGTGGTGTTGGGTAGATAGAAGACGGGTAGAGAGAGATAGGTGTCAATTGGCTCCAAAAATTTATACATTTGGTGTATATTGACTGAGGGTAATTTGGTCATTTTAGGTGAGCTGATATTTTATATGAAAATATAATATTTTTTTGTAGGGCATATTAGACATTTTATGTCACTTAAGATTGTGTTTGGATCTAATTTATAAAATAGTGTGTCATTATTCAAAAAGTGTCTAAGTTATAGTTACTAGTAAATCTGTAATAAACTCAAACATGGGGTGTCATTATAAATTACCCTTAAAGTAATAAAATAATATAATATAATTGAATGATTGAATATGTCTTTTAAGTACATGTGCAAGCAAAAGTATTGGCACCCCCCTTGGAGCCCGACATCCCCGTCGGCACATTTCCAGCTGGTCAGGCTCTGATACCATTTGTAACGATCCACTCTACCACATAGTATGATATCTTATTTAAGCCCGTACAGTTTTGCTCTTGGGCTTTACTCCAAAAGGTCTCATACAAATTGGAGTAACACACTTACATATAAGCACTTCACCTTTCCCTTACCTAGGCGATGTGAGATTGTACACCCGTAACTCGCCCGACGGCTCAATCTAATCTGGGACCTTAGGCGAAAAATAAAAAGTGACTTTTTCAACAATATAAATAAAATTAGTCACAACTCAAAAACAAAATATACAAATATATATACACGCTAACAAAAGTTAATAAAATTAAAAAATAATTAAAGAAAAAGAACCATTGAACCTGATTTAGAAAATTTAAATCCAATACTTCTACAAATTTTTCAATAGAATAAAAATCCGTTCATAACAACTCTAAACTTGTAATAAGAGTGGGAGGAGAAGACTGGTTGAAAAGAAGAAGATAAAATAAAATAAATAAATAAAATAATAAAAAAAGAAAGAATATGGAAAGTTTTCGCTATTTTTCTAAACAATAACGTTATTTAATATGTTACTGTTGGTGTAACTTACCCTGGCGTAAAAAAACGTGAATGAGAGAGGGAGAGAGAAAGAAAGATTTTTGGGCCTAATATTAAATTGGGAAAATTAGACTTTGGTGACCAAAATTGGTATAAAGTGACCTTAAAGTCAAGAAAAGATGAATAATCATCAAATCTAAAACTTAATTGCTAACAAGTGACTATTTGATGGTTATTACATAAATGTCCTTCTTATAATATATTATTTTATAAGTGGACAAATTTACCCTATACATTAAACCCAATAAACACTTGCTTATTATTTTAGCATCAATTGATTATAAATGAGTAATTTTTGAATTGATCTGATCCTCTGGTTATATGTCACCAAATCATACAACAAGAAGGTCACAAATCCAGCCTGAGGGAAAGCACTAAAACAAGGGCTCGCAGCCCTAAAAGAGCCTTGGAATGACAAAATGAGTAACCACAACCTAGGATGATAAAAGAGCCTTTATGTAGCCTTTACCCCATCCTTTAGCATGCACTAAGGTCCCTAAGCAATACCAACCCACCATTGCAGAAGACTCGCTAATGGCTATAGAAAAAAGAATGCAAAAGGATGATATACTAGAGCAATATAGTCGGAGGACCTCGCCTCTATAAATATTATATAAAGAGTATTTTGGGATTGAACTTCCAAATTATTCTTAATTATTATTCTTGATTTGCCACTATAAATATTTATGTTTTGCGGCCATGGTGATAAAGAAACCTGAATTTTTTAAATTGATAAATTGCAAACTAAAAAGGGAAAAAGAAAACAATGAATGAGAGAGAGAGGGAGAGGAGTATGCTGAATCTAACGATTTATTCTTTGAATTGGATGGCAATTTTGTCATGTAAAATTTATTTTTAGAATGTTTATCATAACTTTAAGTTTGTTTTGACCAAATAATCCTTAAATGGTCACTTACTAGCAATTAAATTTCAGCATTGGTGACTATTCATCTTTTTTTGACTTTATGGTCACTCTAGAGCAATTTTGTTTAGGTTTGGCCACTAAAATCTAATTTTCCCTATTAAATTTCTATATTGGTTATGAATTATTGTAAAACGTGAATGAGATAGAAAAAGGGAGGTAAAAAAAAAATCATATAAGGATGTAACTCTTTGGGGGCCAATATTAAATTTATGTATCATAAAAAAAAGAAATTATTTTAGGATATAAATATTTGAGGCCTAATATAAAATCGGAATAAATGAATAAATGAGGATAGAGAGAAAAGAGAAGTTATTTTAGGATATAAATATTCGAGTGGGGAGAGACAAAAATAAATAAATAAATAAATAAATAAAAATGAAAGAAGTTATTTTATTTATTCGAGTTTAATAATATTAGGAAATAATTATATTATAACTTAATATAAGGAAATTTTAAAATTTTGGAGCCTTCAACCACCTAAGTTGCCTAAGGCTCGAGTCGGCCCTGAGTGTTGGACATATATTTCATACTCATATCCAAGTAATATGTGTCCGACATGGATACTTTATTACTTTTAAAAAGTCGAATATGTATATAAATATATATATTTCCCCCTAAGCATATTTTTTTCTTTCAGAAATGATAATGATACATCAAAATGATTGAAAATGGAGCAACAATAATTGATTAAATGTACATTCTTAAAAAACAAAAATTAAGAAACACTTCCTCACTGTGCCCTAAGATTGTTACAGTACAAAAATCTAACAGGTTTTTTTTTTTAACCTTTGTGTACTATGTCAATTGAACTTGAAGACCTTTGGAGCAAACCTTAGTAGTCTAACCAAAGCACTTGGCAAGAACTTCCTAGCAAACAAGAAGCAAATATTGGTTCTGTTTCCATTGTAAGTACAATGGCTCCCAGTCCTCATCTTCTCCAGCAACTCAACGGTTACTTCTGTTCTGTAAAAGCCCTTTGGGTGGGGCCCACCCTTGGACCAGTCAACCCAAGTCAAAGTCCTGTTTGCATTCTTATACCAAAACTTCAAACTCGCAAATGTAGGCAGGTAGTGCTCATCTGAATAACATGGGGGCTTGCAGTACCTTCTGAATACCAGATAATATTTCCGGTCGGAGATGACCTCAATGGCGAGGTCCCGGTCCACCTCGAACCACTGTGCGCCTTTTCTCCATTGGTGGGGCTTGATTAATGGCTTCATTCTCCTGTTGTACCGGCCTCGCCCAACCGGCCCTGGTTTATCGTAGGCCTCAATGAAGGTTTTTTCCGAGTCCATGAGATAAGAGTAGATTGTGGTGAAGTTGAAGAGAGGAATGCAAGACTCTGAGAGGAGAACGAAGCGTTGATTGGATATGTCCAGTAAAGCATTGCCGAGTAGGCGCCGCTCCGCTTCAATCATGCTAGCCTTTCCCCATTCTACCCCCTGCATTCATGCATTAATTGTCATATATATATATATATTCTAACGAGAAGAGTACTGTGGAGACAGACATGCGGATAATTGAGATTGAGATTATTAGTATATGGTGTTATGGATTCATATTTATCATTTGATAAATGGAGTATAAGTCATAATGTTTTAAAGAAATGAAGTTGACCAAAATATTAATCTGAACATAAACATATATATTCATTTGCTCAAATTACCCTTATTATTTTCATATACCAATTTTATGAATGTAATCTAACTCAAGATCTTCTAACCAAAATTAGAGTTCTAACTTGGTGAGGAAGTATTAAGTCTAGGTTGACTCTTCTTGAATAGGAGCAATTCCAGAGAGGGGGGTTGTCAATTGTGTGATATTAATAGATTCTATACAAAATCTTTGTCCAAAGAAGTTTCACTCTCAAACTCCGCACGCGAATTTGTGATTTGGGAGCGAATATGCGAATTCAATTTTTGCAATTACTAATTCACGATTTCCATACGAATTTACTATATATAACTAAATTTGTTAGAGTGCCAGTCATATTCCTTATATTATCACATATGTATTTATTACTTACACTTATTCAATATATACATTAATTACTTAAATTTGATGTATTTATTACTTACTCTATTATTCAATATATATATATTAATTACTTAAATTTCACCATGTGCTCCAGCTGTATGGCATTGCTATACTACCATATATATATATATTAATTATACAAGTTTAAAAACATACTACCATACTACTAAAAAACTTCCCAAATCACGCATTTATTAGCGAGAAAAGTTAGTTTATTTATTACTTATACTCTTATATCATTAATGAATAAATAATCATGAATATATTTGCATATGAATTTAAATAAATAAAAATATATAAAATATACTACCTCCGTCCCTTATTAGTTGTCTTTTCTTTTATAACTTTTTAAGGGGACATGCAATTAATGCATTGTCCCCATTTCAAATTACTAAATTATTCTTCAAACATTAAATATATATAATGTCAAAGTTTGAAATTTTTTAAAAATATAAAAGAACAATGATAGAAATATAATAAAAAGATACTTTGACTTTTCAAAGAAGACAACTAATTTGGGACATGTAAAAAGAAAAAAATGAACTGCTAATAAAGGACGGGGAGTATATGTTTTGACCTAATATAATATGGATTTAAATAAATAAAATATATATGTGTTGACCTGATATAATTTTATTTAAACATGTAATATACCGACACTAAGACGCCAGAGTGCCACTGATATGGAACACCTATATTACCACATATGTATTTATTACTTACATCATTACTCAATATATATATTAATTACTTAAATTTCACATGTGCCCTAGCTGTATGGCATTGCTATACTACCATATATATATATATATATATATATATATATATATAATATAATATGGATTTAAATAAATAAAATATATATGTGTTGACCTGATATAATTTTATTTAAACATGTAATATACCGACACTAAGACGCCAGAGTGCCACTGATATGGAACACCTATATTACCACATATGTATTTATTACTTACATCATTACTCAATATATATATTAATTACTTAAATTTCACATGTGCCCTAGCTGTATGGCATTGCTATACTACCATATATATATATATATATATATATATATATATATATATATATATATACATACATATACACACCCAAGTTAGAAAATATACTACTAACTTCCCGATTAGAGAATATTATAAATAAATCACCCATTTATTAGCGAGAAAAGTTAGTTTATTTATTACTTATGCTACTACTCAATATATACGTGTGCCCTAACTGTACGGCATTGCTATACTACCATATATATATATATATATATATATATATTAATTAATTATACAAATTTGAAAACATACTACTAAAAAACTCATGAACTGATATAACTTTATTTAAGAGGCTTTTACAGAAACTAATTAACTGAAAAAAAAAAAAAAAGGGGGGGCAGGGGTTGTGTTAAACTGACCTTGCTGGGGACTCTTCGTCCATGGAAGACAGATTCTTCTGGCAGAGTTCCATTGAAGGACGGTGAAGCATGTACATAAATGGAGTAAAGTCGTTCATGGCCTTTAAAGAATTTCTCCCAGAGAGGAGCCATTGGAAGTTCTCCTCTTGTTAGAAACATGAAAGCCACCTTCGGCACGCGGTTGAACGGAGATTGGCGAATCTGGGGTACCATTGAGGCTCTCCAAAGCAATTCCTCATCGTTCATGTCGTGCATCATGTTAGGCGGTCTTAGATATTCTTTCAAGCCAATCCGACGACCAAAAGTGCCATTTTTGAAAGGTGGCGGCGGTGGTAGTAGTGGTAGTGGCGGTGGTGGTGGTTTTTTCTGATCATTTGGCTTTGATGGTAGAAGAGGTGGTGATGGTGGAGGTGTTTGGATTTGGAATTGTTTGGATAGCAACTTGAAGGAAAAATCTTTGGGATAGAAGCCAAGTGTAACACCAATAACTAGACCAAAGCCAAAGAAAAGAAAATATAACATAAGATTATGAGGATTGGAGAACTTGGCAGTTGAGGAGGTTGGCTGCTGTTGTTGTGGTTCATTCACCATCTTGCATCAGAGAGAGCAAAAGAGAGACGAAAGATGTTGGTATGGAATAGAGGGAGGTTTTGTGTGTTGTGTGTGTAAGAGAGAGAGAGAGAGAGAGAGAGAGAGAGAGAGAGAGAGATTCTGGGAAGGTAGAAGTTTGGGTTTTCCTTGTAAAAGAAGATTGTTGAATTTGATCCCAAAACACCTCACGGACTGTTATATTATTATTCGCCATGGACACATGAATTATATATATATATAGGTATATCTGATTAGTATCAAAACGTCATATTCATCACGTCCTTTGCGATTCTCTCAACATTAATTTTCCCTTGATGCTTCACCCTCGCGATTTTTAGAGTTAAATTTAATAATTAATCAAGAACACACTTATCTGCTGAAGTTGTAGGTAAATCTTCTAATAAAAGTCTTATTGAACATTTATCGATATATACTACAACAAATTATGACTTTTTGCCACAAAATCTTTGGAAACCAAAGAAATGTTTTGGCCAAAAACTGATTTTATTACCATAATTATCAATTTCCTGGCCAATTTTTCGCAAATTTCATGGCCATAATTAATCTTTTACCACTATTATCAATTTATTAGTGAAAACTAGGCAAAAGTTCGTTTGTGGTACAAAATAGCTCGTTTAAAGGCCATACATATGCTCTACAAAAATTGAAATCCAACTCATTTTTCTTATTTCCTTTTCACACTCACTAGTCCCCAAGAATGCCTCTCTGCCAAGTGGTTCTTCATTCTAATTTTGTTATATGTACAAAAAGGGTTCACGGGAGCCAGAAATTAAATTCAGGGGACACTGTACAAAATATATATATTTCATTAATCCCGACAATATAAAAATTAATAAGTTAGCACATGATAAACACGTGTTTCTTTATTATGGCAACTAAACGGATGTGGTAATTTGATAGATTTTTGAAAACTAACAAAGTTTTTAGATAATTTTTTTTTTTTAGTATAGGGGTTTATATAATTGTTTTGGGATGATAGCATTGGTTTTATTTTTGTGATGATTTTAACACATAAACAAATAAATAAAACTCAAAAGTGATTTCATAAATAAATTTGAAAGATAAAATTTAAAAAATAATTACTCCGTCTCTAACATTTAAATAAATTTAAAATATAATTACTATGTCAATAACATTTATTGTCTTTCTTATTCTACTGATTTTTTTATTTTGATAAATAAGGCAAGTGGTAGTACCCTACCGACTTTTTCTCCTTTTTAGGATTTTTACAACTTTTATAATACTTAGGTCTTCAACAGTGAGGATGTACTCTATCCTTATAATTGATATGGATCAATAACAAATGTACATATCTTTTTTCATTATTATAGCACAGATAATGTATGTACCCCACCATTTATGATTTTGTAAGTGAATATGTACGCATACCACATTTGATTTGGTAATTAAAAATGACACATTCATTTATTATTGGTCCACATTAGAGGTGAGGACAATACATATCCACATTAGAAGTATTGTCCACTTCTAATTAACATCTCTCTTTAATTAATTCATAATTTTTAAAAATAATACTGTACGTCTCAAACATTTATGGTACTTCTTATTCTTATTCTTATTCTACTTATTTTGAATTTTTGGTAAATATATAAGATAAGTGATAGGAATTTTTATTTATTTATTACCAAGGCAAGCAACAGCGTTGTATTATAGAAAGAAGAATAATCCATAATACTTAGGGGAAAGGAAAAATATATATATATAATCCAAACTAGTGCTAAAGATAAATACGAAGAGGCCCCTCATGTCAAAAGCTATCTAAATTTATATATCACCCTAAAAATATTTTTTGATCATAGGGTGATGATCTCTAATTTTTCCTATTTTCTATTTTCAGAAATTGTTTGAGATTTTTTTTTTTTTGTACCTCGTTTTGCATGCCGAACACCGTGGGTGTGCCTTCCGAGAGTTAGTTTGGGTATTTCTTCAAGTTCAGGACTCTTAAAAATGCATTATTAGCAATTTTAGCATTTTTCAGTTTTTCGGGTCGGGAGGTCCCAGGCAGGACCCGTAACCGGATTTGTCGTGCACATAATTATTTGTCTGGGCAGTTATATTTCATGTATTATTATTTAATGCATATTTATTTGGGTATATGATTTAATGTGTAATCATATAATATATATCTATATCTATACTATTATTAAATGTGCAAAGAGTTTCAATATTTTATTATTTATTTATTAATATAAAAAATATGCTAATTGATATAAAAAGAATTTTTATAAAAAAACATATTTATTAATTAATATAAAAAGAGAATTACCTAATAAAATTTCAAATTAAATGTGTAAAGAATTTAGTGTTTCAGTATTTATTTATAAATATAAAAAAATCAATTTATCTATACTATTATTAAATGTGCAAAGGGTTTTAATATGTAATACCCCTAATTTTAAAAGGATAGTCTCAATATTTAGTTAATTGTTTTAATTGCATGTTTAATTGTTTATTTGATTTCTTGACTAATTGTTTACTTGTTTAATTGATTTGATTATTTTGTGTTAATTAAATTATTTGTTTAAATTAAATTGTGTGCTATAATTATGTGTATTCGATTTCTTTATTTAAATAAAATTGTATGTGATGGTCTATATTTATTTAGGAATTTAATTATTTTATTTTATTTTATTTTTATATATTTTTATTTTTTTAAGGAATTGAATATGAGTAGTAGTAATGGAACAACCAATTGGGTCCCATGGACTACTTAGATAAAGGGTTTAATGGATACGGATAATTGCTCATGGATAGTTGTATATATACATATAATAAATAAATAAATAAATAAATAAATATATATATATATATATATATATATATATATATAAGGAAAGTCCTTTAGTAATAATTTGATGTATATTTATATATTATATATAAAAAGGAATATACATAGATTATACATAACATATATTTCAGTTACCTTTTTAATATTTTAATATTTATTATTTTCTCTATTAAGCTGACTTGGATTGAGAAAAGGATTAGGTTATTTTATTTAGCTTTTAAATATACAACTATAGGTTAGTAAATGAAGTTAGAAAATAATCACGTAATATATTTTAAAGAGAGAAAGAAGGAAGCAGAGAAAAAGGAAGAAGGAGGTTAGGGTTTTATCAAATCTCTAAAGGCAAGTTTTAATTATTCTCTTCTCCTTTGATTCGTACCCTATGCATGCTAGATTAATTATAAGTTCTTTAAATAAATTAATTGAATCAAATTACCTAAATTAATTTAGAAATTGCCGAACTGGCATTGCTGGTGGCCTAGAAGCCAATGATAGTTTTGAAAATAAAAGAAAATTTTGAAATAATCATGTTATTTCACATTGGTTTGTATAAATGCTTCAATTAGATTTTCGTCAAAATTCTTACTCTTTTATGCTTCACACTGCACAGATGCACATCATAAACTTAATTGTGAGGCATGCAACCCGATTTACCTTGATCTTGACTCAGTTGATTTGAATTGATGACCCTAATGAATGGATACCTTTAGCATGTTAAAAAAAACACAAGAGAAGTTATTTTGAAATGAAATAAATAATGATAATGACTAGTTTAAGTTCGTAGTCTTGCTAACTGGAGTCATTAAGGCCTAGGAGTGTCTTTACACTTAGCACCCTAAAGTCATCCGGTTTGGGAATTGCTGGCTTAACACTTGCTACATGGGTTGGTTAGAAAACTTAAGAGACTTAGGCATTGCATAGTCATTCACAAAATAAAAATAAATAAATTGATTTTATAATTTTTTTTTTTTAATTTTTTTTACTTGAATTAATGCTCGCATGTGTCAGTATTGTGTATATATAAGTATGAAATCAAAAATTATTCATGCTTAAGGAATGCACCCGCAACAACGAAGATTAATGAACCAGTTTATGATTGATCAGTTTATGCATATGTGAGTAAAGTCATAAGATGTTCTTCATAAATTGTGCGCGCCGAACAACAAAACCATTGACAATTGATTTAATAAAAACCAAATTGTGATTTAATTGATAATGAGAATTTGTGTTTTTTATCATGCACGTCGAACGAGAAAAAATAGCTTTAAGAATGCTTAAGTTTGTTTCATTGTATTTGAAATTGAAATTTCACTTTATTCCTAAGACATACACGTGACACGAGGAAGGAAAAGTCAACTTAGAACAATTTGATATTGTTAAAAATTGTTAGAAAGGAATTTGGTATATAACAAAAGTTAGTTATGCACTAAATATTTTAAAAATTAGACTAATTAATGTTGGATATTAAACTGATGTTATTGTTTTTGATTAATGGATTAGTATTAAGAGGGGTGCTAATCACAGTCGCCCCCGCAATGATTGTAGAATCTCAGTCGCTAGTTTAGTGATTGACGTGTGTATTTTTTTTTTTTTTTCAATAATTAATTACTATTTTTATGCTAACTTCCTTTTGGGTCTCTCATTATATATAATTACTATATTAGCCTCCTAACTGAGAAACTAGTGTACTATAATCTGGTTCTCTCTCTAAAATTATTTATTTTTTCAGATCCCTATTCTCTGTTTCAAAGTATTCGGTTGTTTTTTAAATAAAATAAAATAAAATCAGATGAAAAAAAAAGTATAATCTGAAAAAAAAAAAAAAATTATAATACTTTTTTCTTTTTATTTTATGATAATTGTTTTTATTTTTTTAATCTGAAAAATTAAAGCAATACTTCGAATACAAAGAATACGGATCTGAAAAAATTCAGATTTGAACTTCAAACATTTAGATATGTACTTTTGGATAAAGAAAATTTTAGTGTTGAAACTTCAAATATTTAGATATGGAATTTTGTAAAAAATAAAATTTTAAAGTGAGATGAAACTGTGGAGGTTTCAGATTAAAAAAATAAAAAAAATAAAAAAATCAGTGAAAAAAGTACTATCAGATCCCTATTCTCTTTTTGAAGTATTAGGTTGTTTTTCAAATAAAAAAAATAAAATC